ACAGAAAAGCCTTAGCCAAAATCGTGTATTATAGCCATTATTTCTTCTATCACCYATGCTATTTTCTTCCATTGGGTACAAATTCTTAAAGACACATGTTGAAACCTTTGACTTCATCTTCCACATGCAATCTTTCTTCCATTTTGTTCATCTCTTTATCTCTTTCCATAAAACTCCAAGATTTTTTTTAAAATCAGGAACTGAACCCAGGGGCATTAACCACTGAGACCACTGAGCCACATCTCCAGAAGACCCTTGCCCTCACCCCCATTTTTAAATTTTGAAACAGAGTCTCATTAGGTCCACTTACAGCCTGGTTAAGTTGCTGATGCTGACTTCAAAGCTGCAATCCTCCTGCCTCTGCCTCCTGAGCCACTGGGATTATAGGCATGAGCCACCATGGTGGGCCCTGAGAGAATTCTTTACTTCAAACTTAAAGCTTATTAATTTTCTTCAACTATGAACTACATACTCTTTGTCCTTATTTTTTTTTTAACAAGAACATACATTTTTAAAATTTTCAAAATCTCTACTGGGATCTTTTTCATTACTATTTTTTTTTCTTCACTTATGTAATTCCTTCCTTTGTCTCTCAAAAAAAAATAAATTTAGTCTCCTAAACATCTCTCTTAATGCTTTATTGCCTTGTGTATTTTTCCATTCTGATTTGTTTTCTCTTTGTTTCTTTTCTGCTGGGCCAGCACTCTACCACTGAGTCACACCCCCATCCCAAAATAATTGTGCTTACATAAGTAGAGTTTAGCTCCCCCACACTTTTGGTGATGCTGAGGATTAACTGAACCCAGGGCCCTGTCCATGCTAGGCAGGCGCTCTATCTCTTAGCAAGTTGATAAGGAATCTTAATTGTGTTCTGACCTTTGTGTTTGAGAGTCCCTGCAGACAGCTGGGTTGGGGACACAGGGCAAAAGACACAATGTGCTACAGTTTGGTGGTTCTTCAACCAGGCAGCGATGTTTCTTGTCTCTACTGGGTGTCTTCAGCCATCAAAGTTRCCTGGCATTTGGTCCCAGGTGTCACCACCACTGTTCTCTAAAGGCTGACACCTGCCTTTGCCCCTGAGCCCATGGGAAGAAGAGAATGTGTCACGATCAACCCACCAGTAGTCCCTACTGCTCATGCTGCCACAGTCCCTGAGCCTGGGGTCTCTTCTGCCCCATGTACACAACCTCTAGGAATGGAGCAGTGTGCAGAACTCTCTCCCGCGTATATCCTGCTCTGAGGCTGAATATGATCTCCATGTGGTTTCTGCCTATTCCAGAATCCTGTGGTTTCTAACCTACTGAGAGTCCTTTCTCTTGTTTTTAATTGGAACTTTGTATAGTGCTTGTTTGCTCTTTTTTTTTTTTTTTTTTTTTGGAGGAGGGATACTGGGTGGAGCCCAGAGGTGCTTCACCACTGAGCCACATCTCCCGCCCTTTTTATATTGAAACAAGTTTTCACTAAATTGCTGCAGCTGGCCTCAAACTCATAATCCTCCTGCTTCAGCCTCCCGAGTCATTGGGATTACAGGCATGTGCCACAGCACCCGGCTCATTTATTCTGTTTTTCTCATGTCTATTATTTCTTTTTTTTTATTATTGATTAAAAAAAAATGACAGTGGAATGCATTACAATTCTTATTACACATATACAGCACAATTTTTCATATATCTGGTTGTATATAAAGTATATTGACACCAATTCGTGTCTTCATACATGTCCTATCTAGAATTCATTTATTCCTCCTATTCTCATGTCTATTATCTCTAAGGATTTGGGATAAGGGAAGAAAGATGGCAGTATGTGTTCAGTCTGTCATCTTGAAACCGAAGGCCCCTCTCTTTGTATTTCTTCTGTCCTTTATCCCAGATTTTTCCCCTCCCCCAGCTCACCACAACTCCAAATACCTGGCTTAAGGTCTCAGGAAACTGCCAAAACTTCTTAGGGAAAAGGAACTCAAGAGCTGTTTGGTGTTGATTGGTTTCTGCCTCTCTCACCCTTGGGTTCTAAAGCCATGAATCCAGAGCCCAGCATCACCCACCCCTCCAAGGAGTCCTTTGCCCAAGTAGAGTCCAGCATGAATTTTGTGAAAATAGACTTTATTATAATAAAATGTCTTTTTTAAACAAATCCCCCACCATCCACACTCCTGGAGACCAAGGCGGGGGTGGGGGTTCAGTCAAACAATCTCCCACCACGGTGAAGGAAACATGCAGAGACTCACCCAGCCAGAGGGTGAAGGATGGGATGGTTAGGCTAAAGGGAGGACCCCGACCCACTCTCAACAGGGAATGTATGAAAATAGCTGCATAAATCTGTCCTTTCCTCAGCCCCTGGACTCCCACAGGGGCCAGAAGAAAACAATGCAAAAGAGAAGTTGAATCCAATGAGCAAAATAAGGCAAACCCAACTCCTGCTTTCTGTCCCCTGGTCCCCAAGGTTTTTAGGGGTGGGATGACACTGGGGCCAGGAGGCCTGGGCAGGGAGGGGTGGAGCACTGTGGGGCGGGGTTAGGCCCGCTTTGGCATGGCCTTTCTCCTTCCCGGACCTGTGTGCAGTGGAAGCGAGATGGAGGAGCTGGACTGAGGCACTGAGTATGTACATATATACATGGCTCCGCCCGCGGCACTGGGGAGACTCCAGTGCCAACTTTCCTTCAGGGGAGGGAAGACACGATCAGGAGGAAGAGGCAGGCCCCTCTCTCCACCCCCCAGGGTCCCATCCTGGGAGTAGGAAGGGCCAAAGGAGAAATCAGCAGAGTGCACTGGGAAACGAGGAGTCAGCTAGGTGGTGGACTGGAGTCAACAGTCTGGGGTCCAGTCCTGCTCTGAGTGGGTGCTCAGTGACACTGGCCACTGTAGGGCTCAGTTTACCCTCCTGGAAGAGGAAGGAGCCCATCTGGAGGACTCCCCCCGTGAGGACCCGTCTAGCTCCCACCTTTGCCCAGTCTCTCTGATTCCCGTCCAGTGTTCAGTCGGGGAACGGGAGTGCTGGGGCCTCCCTGCCCAGCCAGGACAGGTTCCTGGGAATCTCTGGGGTCCGCTTCTGCCTGCAGGATGGGCCACAGCTTCACTCCTTCTTCCCAGAGCCCAGTTTCCTGAGGAGCTGCTTCCCTTTGGAGAGGAGACCCCATACCTTCTCAATTGTGCCCTGGGGCTCCCCCAGTTCAGTCCTGGAGGGGCTTCCAGGGCTAGGGGCACGATGCCAGCCTGGGGGCACTGGAGGCCCTTGTGTCATGCTGACCCAGTCCTGGAATGTGAGAAAGGGAAAGGTCAGGGCTGGTCCCCGCCCCACCCTGACCCCTTTCTTTGCAGCTTCAGGTGTCCAAGCCTCGAATGTCACCAACTCATGGGCAAGAACCAGAGCCTCACCATCCCGCCACTGTCCTGGACACACAGAGCACAGAGGTGAAGGGGGGGGGGATGATGTCAAGGAGCATTGTGCTAGGAGCCCCATGGGACATGATCTCAGTTGAGCTTTGCTAACTTGTGACCCTGGGTAAAAGCCCTTTTCCTTCCCTGGGTCTTACTACAGGGTTACAGGCTGACAAAGCTCAAAAATTCTCAGAAATGACACATGAGATGGGTGCCCTCAACTTCCTATATGCCATCTCCACTCCCAAGAAAGGGAGAGCAAGGACAAGAATAGCTTAGCAGCTGCTGTGCCCTCAGAGAAGGCAGTGCCTACAGCACCTCATAGGCACAAGAGCATCCACACCAACCCAGTAGATGAAGTGTCCCCAGGATCTTCAGGAAGTGGAGCCAGTGCCTACACCACATGGACAGAGATGGGGACAGACTCTCCCTTGAATAGCCTCTGGGAGGACTCCAGGAAAGCCAGGTCCAGATGGGACTGTGGGGGTGGGGATGGGGGCATCACACAGCCCTCATCACAAACTCTGGAGGCCGCCCCCTTTTTTAGGGTTTTTTCTCTTGTTGAATCTGCTCCTAGTTCTACTCATGACCCTGAGCTGCACCCTCTGCTTCAGACCCACCCACCCAGTGCTCCTTGGTGCCCTACAGATGGGGTTTGGTGAAGAGAGGAGCCACGAGGAAGCCACCCCCACCCATATTCCCACATCCCCACCTGGCTGTCCCGCACCTGGAACAGCCCTTGTCACCTCTTGTCAGGTTGCATGTCCTCCTGTCCTGCCTCCCATCTTCATACCCCCATCCCTGCCCAGAGCCTGGCAAGTTCCCAGTCAGAAGCAACCATGGAGCCCAGGCAAGACGCGAGGGAGCTGGGGGCACAGCCATAGGCCCCCTCCCTCAAGGCTGTGGGTGAGCTGCAGGGCCTGCCAGAGGTCTGCTCAGACCTGGGGGTTGAAGCGTCAACCACCAAGGCCAACAGCCGACTGGGAAGCCCCAGACCTTTCCCACTCCCTCCTGGCTCCCTCCACAAACCCCCAGGTGGGAGGGGATACTGGGGAACAAAAGGAGGGGGGTTCTGAGCCCCAGAGAAGAATAATTTGAAGTTACCTGTGAATTTCAACTAAAAGCATGTGTCTCATCTCCCTAACAGGTCTTAATGCAGAGGACAAGGGTGGGGAGACTATTATTACTGGTGGCATTAGGATGCCATCTTTCCATCACCAATAATAATCACAATATTATAATACCATAGTCATATAGTATCATAATACCACTGATGAGTCATAATACAGGTGTCAGGTAATGTTCTATAAGCTTCGTATGTTACAGAAAACGAGTCAGCTAACATACGACATCATTTGCTAAGATGACATGTACTCCTATGACAGCTCCCAGGGAAAAGGCAAGACAAGGGATCAGAGACGGGGAGGATGATCCCACACCCACATCTAGTCCACGGCAAGATCTCCCTCCCCCACTCCCTGGAAGACAATGGAAAAGCCAGGTCAGCTCCATTGGCAACAAAGGGTACTGTCTGGTTGGGGCGAACTGGGGAGCAGGGTCACATGGCACATAGGGGGCCAGTCCCCCCACTTACATGTTGCTCTCTCTACATATATCTATTTCCATCTAGCACTGGACTCTTCTCCTCCTCATTCTCTGAGAACAAGGAACAAAGAGAGGAGAGGGGTTATTGACAGGCCTGCATGCTCTCTGCCCAGTCACCAGGTGGCCCAGGTATGGGGTGGCTCCCACTTTGCATCTGCTTATGAAGCCCTGGGTTTTCTGGTTGGGGCTCGGCCTCCTCACCCTCTCCCTGCTCTCTGAACCTGGAAGCTTCCTTATATTCCACCCACCTCAAGGAGAGGCAAGCTATGAGAGTGAGAACCCAGGAAGCTGGGCCACTAGCTTCAAAAGGCAGTGGAAAGCCCAACAGGGTGAATGCACCCGAAACCAGGGCTGTGACTGGCCAGAGGTGGAGGGTGGAGGGGTCCTTTTCCACAGGGCCCCTTCCCCTGCCATCAGCCCCAGAGTCTTGGCAGCTGGGGTCGGATGGCCTGGGGGACCAGGGTCATAGCATCCCTTCTCTGCAAACAGGGGTACATGCTGGGGGCAGGCTGCAGTGTCCCCCTCTGGTAGCAACTCAGCAGCTCTGCCCTGATCCCAGAGCTCAGCTGTTTTATCACCCTGGCTGTGCCTCTCCCACCACGGTCCTGTTCCCATCACACCAGCAGGGTAGAGACCGAATGCTGAGTTGGGAACCCAGCTCCTCACTGACCTGACTCTCGGCCTGGGGAATCCCAGGCTCCTTATCTGGACTGCCTGCTTCAGGCCCAGGTCCCTCCAGGAAGTTGGATGGAACTAGGCCCCTTTGTCCGTTCAGTTCCCCCTGGGGAGGAGAAACTGGTGAGACTGAGACCGGAAAGATCAGCCTTGCCTCCTTGATCCTGAGGCCCCTGGAGAACAGCCTGGAGCCAACATCACTATCAAGAGAGGCACCTGGTCCATTTCTCCAGGACCCCTGCCCATCTCCCTGCCCCAGAGCTGGGGCTCGGTGTGCCCTCCCCCATAATGTTCTCACATAGTAGAAGCCATCGTCATCCATGCTCCCAAACACGGTGATGACGTCCCCGGCCCTGAAGGGCAGCTCTGCCTGTGGAGAGGGCAAGAAGTAGGCGTCAGGCCCAGGAGGCCCTGCCRCCACCACCACCACCAGGCAGTATCTGAGGGTCCTCACCTCCACGTCCATGTTGGGGGAGTTCTCCCGGGGGTCGTAGTCAAATGCAGCCACCATGGGGCGGGGAGCTTTCAGGTCCGCAGAGGGAATCAGCTTAGAGGGGCCTACAGAGGGAGGGGAGAAGACTCAGGACTCGGGACTCAGGAGCCCCCACTCCATACTATCCTCTACACTGGAGGCCTGAGGACCCTCTGTTCACCACCACCCTACTGGTTGTAGCCCTTGGGAGGAGGCCAGAGAAACTGCCCCACCCTACCCCTTTCCCCTAACACCCCCGCCCGGGGATGGCCCCTCACCTGGACAGGACTGGACAGGGCCTTCTGACTCCGCTGTGGAGAGAATGTGCCTCTGAGGCTCGTCCTGCCCTTGGTCTTCATCCCAGACTGGGAGTGGTCCAGGGCAGCGAGGAGGCTCACCCTCACATGAAGAATGCAGGAGGGGAAGGAGGCTCAGAGAACACATCAGCCCAACACATTTGTTCAGTGAACTAAGGCCCAGAAAGGGCAAGTGGCATGCTCCACACTGCACAGAATTTACAGTCAGGTGCTTTGGGAACCCAAGTCCTGGTAAACCAGCCTCAATCCCCACTAGAACAAAGGCCCCTACTGGAGGGGCTGGATGTGACTGGAGGTCTGCTCAGAACTCCACACATCTCCCCAGAGACCCAAGCCATGCCACCCCACTCCCAATCTGCACATACCATCATGGGAACCCAAGGGAGAATGTGGTCTTACCTTTCTTGGAGCGGCGGGGCTTGGGAGGAGGCCCAGGTGTTCGGGCTGTAGAGTACACAAAGGGACCGTTCCCTGATCCAGGAAGGCAAATGGATATAAGAGAGAAACTGAGGCAGGGCAGTGGGAAGAACAGGACACATTCTGGAATCTTCTTTCAGGGCTTTCTGAGCATGTTTTTTAAGGCCCTCATCTCATGTCCCTACTAAAAGCTCCACCCGTCACCTAGGACCCGAAATACATGGCTGGTATCATGGCATCCTCTAAAAAGGCCATTCCTGGGGCTCCTAAACAGATTCCATTCCATATGGTGAGACCAAGSGGGTGGCCACACTCCCCTTGGTCTCTCTGAGGCTCCAGTGGCTATGCTAGACTCTGGGTAAGTAGGCATCCAGCCATCCCAGACAGGCAAATTACTCAGAATGAGTCAGTTTGGAAATGGGGTGGTAAGAAGTAGATGAGGGACATACCTGAGCCCTCAAGGACAACATCTGGAGATAAATAACCCCGCTGGAGGAGCTGCTGTCTCCCTGCAGGACTGTCCACAGCCACCTCAGCCACCATGTTGCAGGGGATGTAGCCCATCCGGCCCCCACATTCACCCTGGTAGAAGCCATCGGCATCCTTGTCCCCAAACACCTGGAGGCAAAATCTAGTTGTCTCAGGAGGCCAGTTCAGCTCACTCCCTGCACCCCCCAGGCCCTGAACCCAGCAAGCATCCCACTTGGAACCACAGAAGAATGTTTTCTCTTCTGAAGGCCATGGGACAGAAAGGACAGGGGAGCAGCAATGAATCAGAATCAGAAGGAGAAAAAAAAGCCCTTCTGCATCATCATCATCACTGTCAGAGACTTTCCCTCCATGCACCCGGATGGGATCTCCCCAACTTCAGAGAGTCAGCAAAAAGCTTCAGTCAATACTTAGAGGAACAATAAAAATGGTAATGTTAACAACAAATCGTCACTRTGCTATGGCAGGTTTAGCACAATATGTGCATCAACTCATTTACTCCACAGACAACCCTAGGAGGCACACACTGTGTCACTCTCACTCTACCAATGAGGAGACTGAGYGCCAGAGGGGTTAGGTACTCTACTCAAGGCTAGCTCCACAGCTCCACAGACATGGCAGGTCTAAACCCCAAAGCTGGCTTCAGGGGCCATGTTCTCCCCACCCCATCCCCAAGCTCTGTGATGTCACCAGTGGAGAGAGGAGGGCAGAAGCAGGACGTTGGCTAAAATCTGGAGCTCTGGGCCCAAGGGGTGTGTCAATCACCTTCAGGATCTGGCCCTCCCGGAAAGGGAGCTCCTCTTCGCCAGCGTCAGGGTTGGGTGACATGGACACAGGGTCATAGTCAAACAGAGCCACAAAGAGCCTGACAGGTAGGTCCAGTGCTTCTGGCGGGCCCCTCGGTGGAGCTGTGGAGAGAATTGGACAAAGGGCAGTGACTCAATGAGCTCCATGGAAGAGGTTAGGAAAGGCTCCCTCAGGCCTAGCCCAGCCCCCAGTAGAAGCTCACCCAGGTCAGTGGCACCTGGCCTGGGCACCCGGGCCCCTCTCTTCTGGGGTCCCCTCCGCCCAGAGCAATCCTGCCCTCTGGGCTCGCCAGCCTCCGTTGTCTGCAAAGACAGGGCAACAGATGGCAGAAGTGACACACCATCCCCCTGTGGGCCCGCACTCCCCCGGTTCTGCCCCAGCAGCAGCGTAAGCAGCACAGCAGAACAGGAGCACAGCATTCCTCTCAGGGGCCTCGGCCCAGCCTCATGGAGACATCAGACACCCCTACAGAGGCAGGAAGGGCAGGAGGGGAGGCCCCAGCCCCGGCCCCCCTAGTGGATGAGTGCAGTGGAGGGGACTGAGGTGRCCGAGGAGCATATGAGAAGACAGTCTCTGTCAGCATCGGGGCTGGTGACTCTAGACATGGCATCACAGTCACTGTCCTGAAGACATAGCTAGCTATGCAGAGAAAAGGGCCAYGCTGCCTGAAGGTAGCAACTGGCGACCAGTGACAACAGAATATTGTGCATCCCGGTTCCAATCAGCAGAAGCAGCAAAGCAGTGGAATGCGAGTGGCAGGAGGCAGGTGAGGCAGCCYGGAGGCCCTGCCCCACCTCTGCTGATGAAGGTGGCAGCGTGGAATGGGAGTGGCTAGTGGGCAGCAAGCAGGGCCACCAGGCGGCAGCAGGAGGGGGCTGCCCAGGTTGGGGAGAGGGCACAGACCCGGGAGGATGGCTCCTTGGCTCTGCCAGTCGCACTGCGCCCTCTCCGCTCTGGCTCCCCTTTCTCCCAGGCTGGGAGGCGTGGGGAGGGATGGGGGCCTGAATTGACCTTCAGAGGCCCTCTGGGCCTTGCTATAGGTGCTGTGCCCCAGGCCTCCCCATCTGCCGGGTAACAGGAGCTGGTGATGCTGATGCCCCCGCTGCCTGCTTCCTGCTCGTCCTCAGAATCGTATTCGATGCTGATTTCCAAGCACTTCGGGGAGAGGCAGCTGGTCAGTCCAGATTCCGGGGCCCGGCCACGGTGGCACCTCCGGGAAGGGCCCGGTCGCCCTCGCCCACCAGCCTCTACACCACTCCTGGTGCCCTCAATCACAGGGAGGACACTCCTGTCCCGAGGGAGGCCTGGACGTGCCGAGGCCTGGGGCCCGCCGCCGTTGCTGAGAAGTCGACTGCAGTGTTCTCGGGGGTCTGGAGGTCGCCGGCGGTTTAGGGGCTTCTCAGGGGAGCCACCTCCTCTCCTCTGGCAGCTTCCACTGACTAGTCCGGATTGATCCTCCAGGTAGTCCCTGGCCCTGGAGGGCTCAGGAGACAGGGGACACAGGCCAGGTCCTTGGGGCTGACCCCTGTCACAGCCCAGCCCCAGCATTGCAGGTTCAGGTGGGCCAGGGTCTTGGGAAGGACAGCCTGCCCCTGGCTTCCCTTCGTCGTCCTCGTCCTCCTCTTCCTCCTCTTCGGGGATGCTAAAGAGCTTCTTGCTGCAGAACTGCTGGAGGGGCAGCTCCAGGATCTGCTCCAAGATCTCCTCATCGCTGTCAGTCTCACAAAAGAGGTCAGGCTGGGACTGAGGATGGGGAGAAGAGAGCAGCAGGGAAGAGAGGTCCGTGGGGAAGAGGAGAGAACTGTGCTCTTTGCCCTTAAATGGGGGCAGGGGTTAGGGCAACCCTAATGGCCTCCCTCAACTTCCTCCAAGAGGAAGCAACCAGAGGGACAGTGGCGGGCCCAAAGTCAAACACATGTTTAGGCAGAACCAGAGGAAGATTCAGGGAATACAYCCAAGGATCTGGCTCCAGCCCCTGAGGGGCAGAGCATGAGAGAGCAAGCCATTTGTGCCTGTCATAGTGGGAGGGCCTCCCCATCCCTCCCAGAGGCTCTCAGATGGCACCAGCTTCCCCTGGTCGGGGTGCTACATCGGGCGAGCTAGAACGAAGTGCGGATACAAGCTCTCCTCCTCCCCTTTCTTCCTAGTAGGGCCAAGGCCCATCCTGGGCCTCTTCATGTCTGTTGCTTAGGACAAGGGCCCAGACCACACACCTAAGATGTTGCTGGCACTCAGTGGTGACTGGAGCAGTTGCAGACACATGGGGTAGCCTTGGAGCCTGAGGTCTGGGGCCCACCAGCCCCTCCCCACCTCGTTACCTTGGCCCCATTCTCCCTGATGTTGTTGCCAGCAACCTGCTTCTGGAAAGAGCAGGTCCTAGAACCCAGCTCCAAATCCTCCTCCTCCTCTTCCTCCTCCTCCTGGATGTCTGACAGGTCTGAGTTACGGCCATGATCCACAAGGGAGTTCACTAGGCGAACCCCAAGCTCTGCCATGTCCTCTTTCTGCAAGGAGAAAGACAAGGAAGATAAGGAGGTATGGGGGGACCCAAGACAGGGTCAGCCCCTAGCCAGAGTAAGAAAGGGTTCCTTGGCAGAGGGAAGAGGCATGCTCAGAGTTGGGGGGAGGGGGCGGTGCAGTGGGGTGGGGATGGAAGCCAAACAGGAGAGGGAATCTGGGAAGAGAAACATAACAAAAAAATAGAAACACTTGACACAAAGGTGCTAGAGCCAGAGCAGAGAAGAAGACAAGTAAAGAGGGCAACCAAATTTGGGAGGGAAGGGCTGGGGCTGGGGCTCAGTGGTAGAGCACTTGCCTAGCATGTGTGAGGCACTGGGTTTGATCCTCAGCACCACATGAAAATAAACAAATAAAATCCAGGCATCATGTCTATCTACAACTAAAATATATATATATATATATATATATATATATATATATATATATATATTTTTTTTTTTTTTTTTTTTTTTTTAATTGGGAAGGAGGCAAAGGGAAGGGGCAAGCCCTGATTCTATGAGGTGGCACAGTGTGTCTCCAAACCCTACCTCAGCCCTAGGTCTCGGTCCTGGCCCGGGATCTCCTCTGCAGCAGGTCTCAGTATTTGGCATCCTCTCGGCCGGTGTTGCCTGAGTGGAGCAGGCTGTGGGGCTGGCCTCTCCTGCCGTCCACTCGGCCTCCTGCTCAGCCAGGGAGAAAGCTACGGGACCAGGGCCTCCTTCCCCCAGGGTTGGCTCGCTGGCCCTCTTCTCCTCTGAGGCACACAGGACAGCTGCCCCAGCCTCCTCCTGGAAAAAGCAGAGCACTGAGAAAGGGCCCAAACCTGGGGCCCTTCTCCCAACCTGCACCTGCTTCCCCTCTGCCCAGACAGGGTACCTGGGAGCAAGGGGCTGGTGGTTCCTCCTGGGATCCTTTTGGCATCTCTCTGGAAGGGCTTGCTGGGGGGCCTCCTGGGGGATCTTGAGTTCCATGGGGGGCAGGACACCAGAGGGGAGAGCTGGGGTCCCCAGGCCCTGGGGAGGCTGGAGCAAGGGGTGTTCTGGCCTCTGGGCTTGGTCGTGGTGAGGGGCAGGAGACCCTGGCTGGCAAGCAGGCTGGAGTCAGGGCTGGAGCAATAGGGGCTGGAATGGAGTCGGCCGACTCTCCGTGGGGCGACATGGTCCGCACAACCACCTTGTGGCACACCTGGAGCAGCTGCAGCTGGGACAACTCCACCAGCACGCTGCCGGCTGTGGGTGACGCCACCTCCATGATCTGCAGGGGAAGGTGCACAGGAGGAGAAGATGAGGCCGAAACAGCCAATGTGATGACAATGACAACAGTGGCACCCGCATCCTGAGGGGCATTGGGCCAAGCCCTTCTCATGCCTTACCTCACCCAGGCCTCCTGGCCATTTTCAAATCCTTCATATGCTACTCTTAAACCCATGCTCTTAACCAATCTTCCACTTAGTGCCCAAATGCCAAGCACTGGGCACCTGTGCAAGGCCAGGGAGACTAGACCTTGAGCATGGGACCCACATCCTGTCCCCAGGGTACAGGCAGGTGGGGTCCCCAGGTCATACCTTCTGCCCATCAGCATAGATGGCATAGCCTGTGACTCGGACTCCATTGGAGGTGCCAGCAGCATCGATGGTGACTGGGAGCCAACTAATGATCAAGATTCCAGGGGAGGGCCCTGGCTCAATCTGTACATCCAGCGGGGCATCAGGCGGGCCTGAGGGAAGTGGGGCACAAGATCCAGAAATAAAGGATACTTCCTGCCATAGATATCAGCCCAATCTGCCACTCCCCTGAAAACACAAATAAGGCCAGTCTCCTCTGCTGCCATCACACCTCCTAGGTGTTACAGACAGGGGTGCCCGCACCTGCATACCTGCTGGGAGCGTGGTGAACTGCAGGGTGGCAGCCCGCTGGTCTGGCTTCTCCCAGCCTGGTTCCCAGGACCCTCGGGATGGGAGCTGAGCCTCCACTCGGGCCTGATACAGTGTGCCAGGCCGCAGGTGGCAGAAGGTGGCCCAGTAGGTGCTGGGGCGGGCAGATGGGCACTCTTCCCCATTGAGGTAGATGGCATGGGCCAAGTTGCTATTGCCGGGCACCCAGGTGATCTCAGCGGACGTGGCTGTCAACCGATGGACCCGCAGCTGGCTAGGTACCACCCCAGCCCGAGCACCCAGGGCCAAGCAACAGCGCAGAGGGTCGGAACTGCCCCTGCTGGTCAGGGCTTGGACAGAAACATGGAGGGGCCCGGCCTGCAAGTCCAAGTTCTCAAGCACAGCCTTGGGAGGTGCCCCGGGCCCCAGAGCCTGACGCAGCTCCCCGTTCACGCTGATATGGAAGCCACGTAGTTCCACGCGTTCAGGAGGCAGCTCCCAGGCCAGCACCACACTGTGGGCCAGCTGCTTGAGGACCACCAGATGGCGGGGATAAGGCACAGCTGGAGGCTCGCCCAGGCCCTCCGGTGGGGGGCTCAGACTGAGCTCATCCCCGGCATCCTCCTGGGGTCTGGGCTGGCTACGTCCCCCGCTGCTCTGGCCCCCGCTACTGCTGCCACCCCCACCTCCGCTCAGGAAACTGAGTTCAGGGCCTGAGCTGTGGGACAAATCRGCCAACTCCGGAGGGAGAGAGGTCAGGAGGTCGTCATCAGACACACGCTCTACAAAATTGGAAGGGACCAGGCCCCTGCGGCCATCCATGAGCTCCCCTGGCAGAGGGAGGGCAGGAAAAGGTAGGGAAGGGGAAGACAGACAGAGAGGAGGTAAAGAAAAACCAGTCCAATAAATGCATTTTAGCAACGGCCAGTGGGTGGTCTTAATTAAGTATTTAATCCAATCAACATTTACCTGTCAGTGCTTTTAAAAGACAGAAATAGGCAAAGTCCAGATTAGAGAATTATTGTTGGTTTGCATATTTGAAACAATAGTATTTTGGTTATACAGGACAGCACTTCTTAAATTTTAACATGCATATGCGTCAATAGCAGATTTGTTGAAATGCAGATTCTAAGTCAGTTAGGTCTGGCTGGGGCCAAGATTCTGCATTTCTGGCAAGATCTCAGGAGATGCTGGTGCTGTAAGGACATAGGAGAATGTCCTTGTGTTAAAGCAGTGCATGTTCAAGTATTTCTAGGTAAGATGTTAGGATGTCTACAACTTGCTTTAAAATCATTTTTTGACCTACATATGGACAAAGCAAATTCGGTAAAGTATAAACAACTGTAAAATCTATAGGTGTTTGTTGTACTATTCTTTGATTTTTCTACCCATTTGAAAACTTTCATATTAAAAAGGTTTTTAAAAAAAACTTTGGATTGTGCAGAGGGGAGTGAGGGGAGGGAAGATGTATGGGATGGGAAGGACGGTGGAATGAGACAGGCATTATTATACCCTATATACATGTATGATTATACTACGGTTGTGACTCTGCATCATGTTCAGCCAGAGGAAGGAGAAGTTGTGCTCCATTTGTGTACAATGTGTCAGAATGCATTCTACTGCTATGTAGAACTAATTAGAACAAATTAAAAATTTTTAAAAAGCCAAGCATGATGGTGGACACCTGCAATCCCAACCACTGTGGAGGCTGAGGCAGGAAGAACACAAGTTTGAGGCCAGCCTGGGCAACTTAGTGAAATGCTCTCTCAAATTCTTTTTAAATTTTTTTAAATGCATTGAGTTCATAGAAAATTAAAAAATAAAAAAGGACTCAAGCAGTGAAAAAAAAATTTTTTTTAATGGCTGGAGGTGTTGTTTGGTGCTCAGCATGTATAAAGCTCTGGTTTCAATCTTCAGAACCAAAAAAAAATAAGAAGAAGAAGAAGAAAATGAAATTCTGCTGATTGGAATTTTGCAGTGAGTTTTAAACAAAGGGAAAGGGAATGCATTTTTAGAAACAACAAGTGCCAGAGAAGAGTCACTGTGGGTTCTAGAAGGGACCAGGACCCACAGAAGTCCACGTCTAGGAGCATGGCCAGCAGTCAATTCAGGCAGTGATCAGCAGTGAGTTTTTGACCTGTGTCAGTTCTCCTTTAAAAACTCAATGAGAGTTTTTAAAACATTTGTTTGAGGGATGTTAATGGAGAAGGAAGCTGGACCCACACACACCATGTCCTAGCCAATTTAAAGAAGGAAATAACTTTTCAGGGAATAGACAGCTGATGGCTGTAGGGCCTTACTGGGAAGAAGCAGAAGCCTGAGCCAGGGCTCCAGGCAGAGGACCGATATCATCAGGGCTGAGTTACAGGGCATCTGGGAGTTTTCCCCACAGTCATTTGTGTTGTGCCTCTCTCTCTCTCTCTCTCTCTCTCTCTCTCTCTCTCTCTCTCCTTTATACTTTGAGAAAAATAAAGGGAATCTGAAGAAATAATAGGGATTCTCAATAAGTTAGATAATATAATAAGCCCTGTAACAGGTTAAATAGTAGCCACTCAAAAGTATGTCCGTGTTCTAATCCCTGGAACCTAAGAATATGACCCTAATAGCAAAAAAACATCTTTGCAAATGTAATTAAGAACCTTCATATGAAATCATCCTGTATTATCTGGGTGGGTCCTAAAAATTTCATAATTGTCCTCATAACACACCAGAGGAGAGACACTCAGAGAAGAGGAGAAGGCAATGTGACCACAATTGCAGAGATTGGAGTGATGTGGCCACAAGCCAAGGAACACCTAGAATCACCAGAAGCGGAAAGAGACAAGGAATGGATCTCCCCAAGAGCCTTCAAGGAAGTACAGCCCTGCTGACACCTTGGTTTCAGATTATGGCTTCCAGGAGTCTGTTGTTTAAAGCCCTAGGTAGGTGGAGATTTGCATGGCAGCCGTAGACAATTAATATAGCACGGCATTAAGGAGTGTGGGATTAAAGCATCCGCACACTACATGAATCCACAGCTTGTAAGACCAAAGCTGAAGTCTGGGCCAGAGTTGGGCATGTGGGCTGTGAAGCTCATGCCACGGAGAACAGTACAGCTTGGACCAGACAAAGCAGTCCCTTACTAAAGCTGGACAAGGAATGTGGTGTCCTGCACCCAGTTGTCCACATGGCTCTATCCCAGTCTCCCCTAGGCTGCAATAGTTCGAATTCCAGTAATTTGGGATGAGGTGATACTTATGCTTTTGCTGTTGCCCACCCCCACCCCTGAAATTTTTTTTTTCTTTTCATAAAAAAGTACTCTTGTGTGGCTGGGGCAGGGGCTCAGGAGTAGAGCACTCACCGAGCACATGCAAAGCCCTGGATTCAATCCTTAGCACCACATACAAATAAATAAAATAAAGGTATTGTGTCCAGCTACAACTAAAAAATAAATACTAAAAAAAAAAAATACTGTTGTCCTGGAAGCTATTTAATTCTGCTCTTGGAACTTACTCCTATGGAGAGTTTAGCTGTTTGGGCCATGAAGTCAGATACCATTATTCCCAGTTGCTACTCATATAAAGGGCCCAGGGAAAGGTCTGAGCAGGTTCCAAAGCTTTCCGTGTTCCACACTCAGATCTGACCCCCTTCCTAAATCTTCACACACAGGAGACCCCTGACTCCATTGCCCTACCTACATGTCATTCCAGTCTCTACCCTCCCTACTGCTAAAGGACACAGTCTGGTACCTGGGCCAGGACCACCGTGGAGGAGCTCCCAAGGTCATCCCCTTCTGCAGGCTCTGCCATGTGGCCTAGTCTCAGTGGAGCATCTGCCTCAGTTGTCTGATGCGCTCTGAGGCTCATGCCCTGTCTGGGTTCTGACACAAGATTACCATGTGCTAACACTTTCTCCTGGGATCTGCCCCCTGGTCCCTCCTCCTCATACTTAACTGGAGTCCAGCATCAAATCTATGCTACATGCCTGGCCTCAAGTATCACTACTGTTAAATAGTGCCATATTCTTTCTACTGGCACTAAAATTACTCTAACACAAATCTCCTGTGACACTCTGTTCATTCTCTGGACAGAGTAGTATGCCCTGACCTGTCCTGCAGAAAACCAGACCCCTTTTTTTTCCTCTTTTCTCACTGGCTGTCAGATCTCTGTATGCCTCTTAACTGAGTCTGAAGAGTTACGGTGGACTGAGCATGTTGGGGAGTGGAGATGGATGGATGGAGGTCTTAGGAACTGGGGCTTAAAGGCAGGGAGATGGACAGAATGAGCCCTAATACTGTCCTACCTTCAAAAAAGCCATCCTCATCCATGTTGCCATAGATGTAAATGTACTCTCCAGCTGTCAGGGGAAGTTCTGCCTCTGGATTCTCGTTGGGACCCTCAAAGGGATTGTAGCTGTTGGGGAGGTGGCAAGGAAGAAGAGGACAGAAGAAACCTATTGTATCTCCATGCCTGTCATCTCTCCCCATGCATTGAACCTTTATGAAGACATGCTTTCCACCTTAAGACAAGTAGAACATTCACTGCACCCACCTTGGCTCAACTAGGTTTTGAAAATATGTCCAACTGGGGTCCTTCCCACTCCCACCATTTCTAAAGGTCTGTCTCCATCCAACTCACTCCTCCCACACACTCCAAATGCTGGTAGGGGAGAAGCAAGGGTGAGGGGCTCACCTATAGCGAGCTAGGAAGACCTGGATCCTGGCTGTTCCTGGGTTGCCCTCCGGGGCTGCTGGGAGCTGGGACACACTGTCCACCTCTAGCTCCTCCACCTCACTGGCTGTGTCCACCTGGGGGTAGACAGAAAGGGCTAGTTTCTCTCCAGGACCCAGAGCCAAAGACAAAGCAGGCATGTTCCAGACTGGACCAGAGGAAGACCCACTGCTTTGATAAGGGAGAGTGAGCGCACACATGCTGGCAAGACCAGGAATAACAAGAACCCAATGTTTTCTAAAGGTGCACCCAGTTGCCCTAAGCAGGGGGAGTGGGGACAATCTGGACCCTTYCCTGAGTCCTGGCCTCTGCTGAACCAGCCCAGTAAATAAGGGTGCTCCCCGCACCTCAGAGGGGGCCAGGCCACACTGGTGAAGAGAGTGGACATCAATGGCAGTTTGGYTCCTTAAGATTAATAACTCAGCAAAGCGTCTTGATTGTAAAGAGCTGAAAGCAAGGAGGCAGAAGGGGCTGGAGAAGTCCCTGACTCTAGCCAGGGAACAGTGTTCAGTCCTGGAACTCAGAACTTCCTTTCCACTGGGTCTCCCTGTGGACCGTCCCTCCACCACCAAATCCCAAACCAGCACCACCATTCTATCCCACAAGGGGGCAGCAGAGGCCTGGGGCTGGGTTTTACCCCTCTTGAAACCTGGTTAGCAAGGCTGCTCCTGACCTGCTCCCCTTCACTTTGGGGAATTTGTGGGTAGGAAAAAGGGATGGCRCGATTAGAAGAACTGTGAGTGATGCCCAACAACCTGGTAATGCTAACAGTTTGCCTCATATTAAGCATCTACTAGGTGCCCGGCACRGAGGCACTTTTCCTTATATTTTTTTCACGTAATCCTTTCAACTTTAGAAAGCAGATTTTATTATCCTCAATAGTCAGATAAGGAAGCCAAAGCCCAGAAAGGGTGAGTGACTTGTCTTAGACAACGATGGGATTTAAATCCCAGAAGCTGTACTCTTTCTTATACAACCATCTGCCTCTCTGCAGATGCTCTTATGAACAGTTTCATGTGGATCCTGGTGCCAAAGTGTCTCCTCCAACCAGCCCAGGACTCTAGGGCCTCCCTGGAGCCCTAGGGGGTGGAGCTGTTGGGCCAGCCCTAGAGAGGAGGTATGGGCTCCTCCTGAGATTCCCCACCCATGGAAGGGATCCATAGCCCATGTACCTCCCAACTTGGGCCCAGAGGCCACCCAACTCCTAGGGTCCCCAGAAGAAGTCAGGGCCAATCTTCACTGGTCCATGCCAATGCCAGAACCCCAGGGCCCTCTCCCCAGCACTGACCTCTGGTGTAGGGCATGACTTGGGGCTGTTGTGGATGGACTCGGAGCGAGAGGAGTTAGAGAGAGACTCTGCCTTCTTGGCTGTCCTTCGAGGGACCCCGGTAAGGGTGGCAGGGGCAGGCTCGGAAGACTTTTGGGTGCAGCGCCCTGGTGAGCCCGGCGGGAGGTCAAGGTCTAAAGAGAAGATGGCACTGGGCTTGGGATCTGTGGCCTGAGGAGGGACCAGGAAGATAGGGTGGAGCCTCCTGGGTATGGGGGTCAGGCCCTCCATAGCCGGATTTCCTGACTTATTTAAGAAGGGAAATATTTGCTGGGAAACTTATTAAGCAGAGGTGTATGTTTTCACAGGGTCCWCAGATCAGCTTGCATTTAATTATTGCTTAGGCCTTAGCAAACTATGGCCCAGAGAGGTTAAGGAATATGCTCAAAATCTCACTAGATGTTGAGTGGTGCTGGGATCAGCAGCTGTGACTGATCAGCCCCTTCCCACCAAGCCTGGACTCTTCCCAGGGCCTGCTACTGAATCCTACTGCCTAGCAACCAACTCCCAGCTACGTCCAGAGACATCCAGGCAGAGGAAAAGGAACAGTGGCCTGAGWTGCCTGGGCCACACTTCAGGATAGGAACTCTTATGGGCTTTGTTTTTCCCRTCAGAGCTTGGCTCTAGCCAGGTCCTGGTAACTTTGGGGGAGTTACTGGCCCTCTCTGATCCTGAACTTCCTGCTCTATACAAAAGCCCCAGGCCTGGGGATTCCAGGCCACAAAGTTGCTGGGTCCCTTACCTTTGGGGCCAGACCCCCGGCAGGGCTGGGGGGTAGAGCAGCAGCAGGGGGGTGGTGGGTGGTCCCCCAGGGCACTGCAGCCCAGGGCAGAAGTGAGCAGATCCAAGGGGCCTGGGTGCAGACGAAAAGCCTGGAGCTCCTGAGCCAGGAGGCTGAAACGCTCCGTCTGGCTGCGGCACTGCTCCTCRAGCTCTCGAACCCGGGCCTGAGCCAAGACCCACCATGAGACACCAGCAGGGCAGAGCTGCCCAGCGACAGCCTGTGCCAGCTCCATACAGCCTCACACTGGGCTTCAAAMCACATCTACCCAGCTTCCCATCCTGAACACCTTACCAACCCACATGCCCTGGATGGTGGCACTCCTGCTTCTGAACAATTTGCAGGCCAAAAGGGACCCTTCCCTCCTCATCACCACCACCAGTATCACTACAGGAGTTTTCTCAGCTCTCTCCCTTGTCACCCTCCCACAGTGACTCAAATCCCTGCCCTCAGAAGGGTACGTGAGAGATTCCACTCCACAGAAAGGTAGGGACAGCTTTGTGACAGGAATGGGCCAGTTCTCAGGAACTTTCCTCAGGTAACAGGAGAGTCCCGAGATCAGGGACTCTCCCCTGGCCACTATCACCAGGAACATGCGTCAATTGGTGACGAACTTCCTCATGACCACAGGAGGGAAGGGTCTGGGATGAGGGAATAGCCCACTTGTCCTGTAGGAACCYCAGCCCAGCTTCAGAGTTTGAGGTCTACTATGGGACACATCCCCTCTGCTGGACAGGAGAGTTGGTACCACTTGGGCCCCCGAGGGCAGGGATTTGGGAGAGGCATAGGRAGAGGATATCTAAAGGAGAGAGAGGCCTAAGGAGGTTGTACCTGCATGGAATCCAAGGTGGACTGTGGCAGAGAAGGGAAGTGCAGAGGAGAAGTTAGAACACTGAGCCGGAGGGAGGGAGGGAGAGAGAGAGAACGGGGCCTARAGGGACACCATCCAGTCAGCTCCTAGGCTAAATGAAAGGGCAGTTCACAGTGAAGGCAGCCTCTGGAGTGGATGGCAATGGGAGATGGCTGCCACCAGACTCAGGAGCTCCTGTCCCTTTAAGCCCCTGCTTGAGAAATAGTCCAAAAWTGGAGGGGATTCCCCCAGACCCTCCTACAACCCCACCCTACCCCCCACTTCTTTACACTTCTTCTATCTGAAGTCCCCTGCCTTCCCCCAAGGTAGAGGAGCTGGTGGCCACCTCCAGGGACCCTACCTCCAGCAGCTGGACGGCCCCTTCATGTTCCCTCTTGGCTTCGGCCTGGGCCTACCAATGGAAAGAGGCAAAATACTGGTAGGGAAGGCTGGGGCCTAGGGGTGGGGTCAAGGGAGCATGAAGGAGGGAAGGAGGSAGGGAGGGAGGGAACAAACGAAAGGGGTCTGGGAAGGAGGAGGCTGAGGCTTTCTCCCTCCTACTCCCAGCCTGAGCCCCACCTTAGCAAAGGGAGAAGGGTGGGGAGAGGTTTCTCTTTCTGGAACATCCACTTCCTGGTTTCCCTCCTACCTCTCTCATGCTCCTTCTGAGTTTTAGGTTGTTGTTTTTGTTTTTGTTTTTGCCTGCCTCTTGTCTTCTACCCCTGGGGATTTTGGAATGTTGGGGTTCCTCTGGACACAGTGCTGGGCCACTTTATACTCCCTGTTCTCTCCTCAAGGGTCTAGTCACACAACGGAACACATTGATGGCTCCAAACATCTCCGAGGCCAACTTCCCCAGAACTCCAGACTCCAGCATCCAACTGCCTACGGACACCCCCACTTGAACATTTAGCGCAGGACCYGGACTTGACAAAACAGAACTCAGAATTCTCTGCCCTTCAAAGCTGGCGCCCCGTCATCCTTCACCCCATGGGGAGCCAAAAGCCCTACCTTCCCCAGGGTYGACTGAGCTGGGACTCAACTGGAACCCCACAGTGAGTCTTGTCAATTCTGTCTCCAAACTATATTTCCCATGTATCCACTTGTTTCCACCTCCCTTGTCACCTGCACCCTGTTCCAGATGATCACTTCCCTCCTGGACCACGGCCATAGCCACCAACATCTGATCACCTGCTCTATGCTGCTCCCACTGTCCGTTCTGCCAATTATGAATCAGACCATGTCACCTCCCTGCTGAGAATTCAACAGATTCTAACCATTCATAGAACAAAAGAGCCAAATTTCCCCCAGGGTCTAAGGCCCAACTCCTGCTACTCTGTCAGTCCCCTGTATCCTCTAGTCACACTGCTTTTGGGCCCTCCCCCCAGCTCCTCCCTACCAGAGCGTTTTTACAACTATCCCCCCTACCTGGCCTGCTCTGCCCTGGCTCTCCTGACTGACACCTTCTCATGTCTGGGTTCTGAGCTCAATTGTCACCTCCTCAGGAAGGCCTTCCCTGATGACCTGTCTAAAGTGGCTCCTCATCCCATCCCAGCCCCTTCTTGTCACATCACCATTGTGCRTGTTAGTGTCTGAAATCATCTCATTCATGGGTCTGCTTGTTTGCTGATTGGTCAGGAACCAACCAGGTCTCTGTTTGCTGTTGTCCCCCCCCCCCAGTGCCTAGCACAGTGTTAGTACACAGTAGGTGCTCAGTATATGCTTGTTGAAAGAGTGGCTGGCAAAGCTGGGCCCCAGCAGCCTACCACCTTCCTCACTCCTGCTCCCACCTGCTGCAGCCGTCGAACCTCCTCTTGCTTCTCCCGCAGGCTGAGCCGAGCCTGCTCATGCTCCACCTCCAGCTGCTGCCGCCGCTGGGCCACCTCCCGCATGTGCTGAAAACAAGACTCTAGGTCAAGGCCAGAGCCCCCCACTCTGCCACACTTCCACARAAAATCTAAGGTGAAGGAGCCTCAGATACCATCTGCTCCAGAAATCCTCTATCAAAAAGGAAATTGAGGGGCTGGGRTTGTGGYTCAGTGGTAGTGCACTAGCCTGGCATGGGTGAGGCACTGGGTTCGATTCTCAGCACCACATATAAATAAGTAAAATGAAAGTCTATCAACAACTATATATATATATATATATATATATATATTTAAAAAACAAAAAAGGAAACTGAGGCCAAAGAAGGCAAGAGGTTGGCTGCACGGGGACAGGACCTCAGTCCCCAATACCCCACATAGGGCATATTCTACTATCTCGCTTTCTCCCTGTACCAAGGCCCAATAGCCTCCCCTACCTACAAAGCCTCCTCACCTTCAGCACCTGCTCCAGGCTCTCCAGCTTGCTTTGCAGGCCCTGGCTCTTTTGAAGGGCTGAGTCCCTCTCCTGTGTCACCCCCAGGAGCTGGCCCCTCAACTCCACATTCTCCCACTCAACCTGGCAAGAGGACATTGGCAGGGAGTTGGATGTGTGCACTTTGTCCCACCTGCTCCCTCACGGAGGAGAATACCCCAGGAGTACGTCCCCCAGGCCAGGAACAAGACCTCGCAGAGCAGAAGAGGTACCTGCTCCTTCTCTGAGGCTCTCCCACTGAGCCGAGAGTTCTCCTCCACCAGGCGGGCATTCTCATTCTGGGCTTCTCTTAGCTGCAGTTCCTGAGGGGAACAGTGGACCTCTGGAAGAGGGGCCCAGGACCCACATTCCTCTTTCTTCACACAGAGAATCCTGCCCTCCCAAGCAAGGCCTCCCTCCCCTGCTGGGAACCCGCTTCAGCCAGGAAAGAAAAGCACCCCTGAACCCCTGAACAAGAGGAAAAGTGTGTTTTTAAGGGTAGGTGGGATGGGAGCAAAGCTGAGGGAGCCCAACGCGCCCCTTGGCCTGGGAGAAGGGAGGAGCTGGACCTGGGCAGCCTCGTGAGCTCACCAGCTCCTCACATCGCCTCTGCTTTTTCCGGGCTTCCTGCTCCAGACTTTCGCATTTCTTCCGCTTCTTGCTGAGCTCAGATTCCTGTGGGGTCAGAACCAAGGCCTGCACCTGGTAGAAGGCAGTTCTGCTCATAGCAGGTTGCCTCCAGCCCTTGACCTAGGACTTACCAGCTGCTGCACCCTTGGCTGTTTCTCAGGCTCCCCTAGGACCACSGGTGGGCTCTCCACATCCTCCTGAGGTGTGGCCTGGAAATGCCCAAGGACAGGGGCCTGGCACCTGAGAACAGAGCCCTAGGGAAGCCTGTCCCCAGCCCAGCCTACCTATGGGAGGTTCCCACCTCATGGCATGGTCAGCAATGAGAAACCTGCCAGGGAAGGGGAGGGAAAGGGTGCTGTCTGCTCACCCTCTCCCAACATCAGCTGATGAAGAAGTCTGAGGCAGTACCCGGTATACCCCAGCCATAAGTGCTTTGAGATCGTGGGACCCACGTGTGCCCTGGGAGATGGGTCCTTTATCCAGGCCAAAGCTTTCCCTTTTTAGCTTCCAGCAGCTGCCCTGCTCTGCACTCAATAACTGTCCTGAGTGTCCTTCAGCGACTGGCAGAGAATTAGGAGGCTGTGTGGGCCCCCAGGGATGTGGTGTTCCCAGAGCTAGGGGTTCTGGATCATMCAAATCTGGGCTTGGCCTGCAGCATTGGAAGCCTAGCCAGTCCCTCCTTCTGTCTTTCCCCAAGCCCACCCTATCRCACCCGAAGTGCAAACTTTTGGGGAGGATAAGTCTTGATGGGAGGGGCTCCCTCCGTGGAACACCCAGAGGGACAAAATCTGAGCAAGCAGCATCCCCCACCCAGAGGATTTCGTCACTACTGAGTCCCTCCTCCCACCCCTCTCCCCAGAAAGAGGCGGACCTAGATGCTGCCCACCTAGGATGAAGAGCCAGATCTCTAGGTTCTGGGGTCTGGAGTTGGTCCCTGGCCCTCGGGGTAGGGGCTGCCTAAGCCCCGTRCTCAGTGAAGGTCACCCGTACCTGGAACCCGGTTGGATGCACTGCCACCCCCAGCTAGCCGGGGCCAGGCCTGGCCAGGCAGGCGCTGAAGGGGGCGTCCCCACTCTACTGCCGCTGCGGGAGGAGGCGGCGCGGGCTGGGCCCCGGGCGGCTGCCAGGGCAACCAGGGATTTGCGGCTGGGATGTACCACTGGCGGCGCGGCAGGGGCGGCCGGGCTGGCCCCGCGGGGAGCAGGCCTGCGGAGGGCGGAACCCCCGGGGGATTGGGGGGAGCCGCGCAGGTACGAGCTCAGGAGGCTCAGAAGGGACACTGCCCCTGGTCGGGAGGGTTCCCTAGACCCTAGGAATGCGCACGTCACCCTGGGAATGCGAGTATGGCTTTGATGGGGAAGTAGCGAGGAGATTCCCCYGGTCGCCCCCACCCCTCATCTGCGCACACCCACACACCTGCCCTTGCGCCGGCTCTCACCTCTCCCGGAGCCCCCGGGGCTGGCGCCCCTGCTCTAGCCGGGGCAGTAGAGCCCGGGGGCCGGGGTGGCGGGGGCGGCTCCTGCTGGTTGCGCAGGGCGATCTGTCTCTGCAGCCGCAGCACCTCCCGCTGGGACTCGCGCAGCAACCGGTCGAAGTCCCGCACGTGGAGCCACTGGGGACCCTCCTGGAGTGGAGGACCAGGAGGGGAGTCAAACCTAATTAACCCCTACCTGCCCCCACACCATTCCGGGCAGAACCAGACCTCCACCTTGATAGAGGGGCTCAGATGTACTGCAACCTGCGCACCCTCCTGTGCATGCATGCCCGGTCATATGTGCTTGCGTACACAGCCACATGTTTCCACCAGGCGTTGTACAGACATTCCCAGCAACTCATTTACTGGGTGCGCGCAGTGTGCCCTCCACTAAATCTGCTAAATGCCTGGTGAACATTCCTTCACAAGTTTGTGGGTATTCATACCTCCAGACCCTACAGACCCACTGGCACACAGCCTTAAACCTGAAGCACGGAGGGGTCCTGGTCTGGGACTCTYGGCTCCACCCCCTTCAATTCAGGCTCCTTCTCCCCTCTCCCACCTGGGCCGTTGCCAGGGGAACCTCCTCCCCAGCAGCCTCCACCTTCCCGTTTCATTTGCATCTCATTAACATCTTGTCCACATCCCACAACCAGGCAGACTGCCCTGCTGAGTAGGGCTGAGGAAAGGGGGACACGGGCCTCCTCGCACCTTTCCCACCAGAGTGAGCCTGGCCTGCAGCTCCCTGCACTCCCGCTGCAAGGCAGCAATCTGCTTGTCCTTGGCCAGCAGTGCACTGGCTGTGTCACTGAGATCCCGGGCTCGCTGGCGGGCTAGGGCCTTCCGGCAAAACTCCAAGCTGGCCCCTGGTCCAGGCACCGGAGTACTTACCTAGCCAGAGGAGGGGTAAGGCCAGTGGTCACCTGAGGGCTAGGGCACTTCTCCCATTCCTCAGCTTCTCCCAAAGGAGAATTTAAACGAAACCTGGCTTCCGGCTTCCACCCAGTCTGGGGTAGCAGAAATCAGGCAGCCTCACTCCACCCCATCCCAACAGTCCCCAACCAGGACTAAAAGGGTTTAACTTCACATCTTAGTTTAGACCCAAAGGAGGCTGTTAATTTGGCTATCACTATGATGGATCTTGTCCCTGCCCCCACTCCAGCTCTGTACCTCCTGTGATTAGCTCAGCAGCCAGCACAGGCAAAGGGTAATCCAGAATTCTTCTCCCTGTCTGCTCAGGAACCTCCCACCCAGCCCTTCTCTCCCTCCTGTAGCCCCCTCACCAGGCCAACATTTGTCCTTCCTACCCTTAGCCCTTGGATTCATGCTTTTCTAGGTGCTAAGAGATTATGACTCCCAAGTCCCAGCCCTTGAGGTCCAGCCCCTGCTTCCCCTCTTTCCTGGTCACCCAGCCTCAGCCCAGAAGTCTCCTGTCCTCACCACCCTCAGGTTTGTTTCCTGGAGCTTCCGGGCCCTCTCCTCCAGGCGCTTGGCAATGACCGCCAGTTCTGCGTTCTTCCGCTTCAGCCTCCGCACCTTCTCCTCTGTCTCKGGGAAGCTGCTCTTTCTCTGACAAGGGGTCAGTCAGAATTGTAGCATGTAGGGAGCACCCCCCAGACCCATTCCTACTCTCAGGCTTGGACTAGAACCCAGGACCACAGTGGGATCCCTAGCAACTCTGGGCAAGGGTTCACCCTCTCCAGGTCTTGGGACTGTGACATCTCTTGGAGAGATGTTCAAGGGGTAAGGGAAGACACTGAGCAGAGGGCCTGGCTCCAGCCAGGAATCAAGACCCCATTCACCGAGTCTCACCAGCATCTGGTTTTCCTCCTTAAGGATGGCACAGCGCTGCTGCAGCTCACCCAGAGCCCTCAGGAGCTCCAGATTGGGTCTGTCACCAAAGCCCATGTTCACCTTGGCCTGGCATGGGAAAGGACCAGGTACAGAGCCTCAGAGACCCATCCCATCCAATAAGCGCTCTATGAGAAAGCATCTCCCCTCCACAGTCTAAGGAGACATGGAGWTGAGAAGGTTCTCTCCTATGTCCCAGGCCTTCAGAGAGGGGCACAGGGGTCTAGGAGAAGGGACCATCCCATCCTCCCTGCTCCCGGTGGCACACAACTGTCCCCTGACCCCTCCAGGCCAGTGCCAGCTCAAGCTTCCACCCCATTTCTCCAGACTGCTCTTGGTTGGTGAGTCCCCTGTCCTCTCCCAAAGTCCTGATCCCTCCATCTTCTACAGGAACCTGCTCGCATTCACCCAGACCTTGTCCTCTGTGGCTCGGCCCCACACTGAGCCTTCTCCCTGAATCTTTCCTTGTACTCTGATTCTACCATACACGTTCACACCCCCAAAATCCCCCAGCCCCCTGAGGACAGAGACTCATGGAGGAGGAGGCACAGACAGACAGACTGTCAGACAGAGACACAGAGGGGCAGGGCCAGATATAGACAGACAGGTAGAGAGGACAAATAGTTAAAAAAAAAAAAATGGAGCCACTGAGATTCATATCTAATGAAGAGAGGACAGATAGTCACAGAGACAGAACCTCGGACAAACAGACGGAGAAAAGAGGTGGGCAGCAGGGTTGCATATTTTGCTTTGCCTCCTGGCCAGCATGGGGGAGGCACAGCTTGCAGACCCCCCAGCCCTCCCCAACCCCCTTACCTTAGTCAAAGCCTCCACATCCTCATCCTTCAGCCCCAGACAAACACGACCAGAGATCACTGCTTGCTGCCCCAGGCTGGGCAGCCCAGCCTCTGCTCCTTCAGGGTCAATGCCCCCCATGGGCCTGGGGCTCTGGGCTCCCTCAGGCTCGCAGCTCTCCTCGGGCCTCAGTTCTCCAACCTGCAAAGCTGTCGGAGTGTCAGCAATGCTTGGGGCTCTGTCTCCAGGCTCGCCCCCCTGGCCCGGAGTCCAGCTCTGCCAGGCKGGCAGTGCCCAGGGTTCCATGGCTCCTGGATCCCCAGGCTGAGGGAGGGTTGTCAGTTGCTCCATGGTACTGCCAAGGAACCCCAGAACCTAGGCCAGGGAACATCACCCAGCCAGGTGAGGGGACTTTCAATGGTCATGCCAAGCTAGACCCTTCCCCTCTGAGCTCTTGGCTTCACCGAAGCTCCATCCAAGGTTGGCTGAGCCCTTCCCCACCGGCGAAGGAGGCTGCAGAAGGCGTCAGGGCTGCCAGAGCTGGAGCTGGGGGTATGTTGGCTGGTGGTTGTGTGTGAGTGCTCGGGTATATGGGGAGGTGAGGGTGTCCCTGTGGGGGTGGGGAGGATGTGCCGAGGCCACCACCAGCAGTGTCTGGGTGAGGGTATGCGTGTGTGTCTCCAGGTCTGTCCCCTGCAGGTCAATGCTATCTTGTGTGTGTTTGGAGGATGGGTGCCCCCACTTGTGTGTGTTGAAGAGTGTGGTGYTGTATGTCACTGTCTGTGCCTGTTACAGAGTTGCCAGTTGTTTCTGCGTGTGGGGGTGTCTGTATTGCAGGGCTGTGGCAATGTGTGATGCTGTCACTGGTTGTATCTGAGTGTGTCAGTTTTGTGCAGCTGCGTGCATCGGTATCGGTGTGTGGCTGTCAGCATCTGTGAGTCTGGTCATCCATCATGACCCCTCAGCCTGGCTAGGGTCCTCAGGAGCTGTTGGGGGTGATCCCCAGTGGTTCCTTGTGGTCTTTTATCTCCGCTCCTCTCTCGGCTGCTGCTCACTCGCTTGCTGGGTGGCYGGGCTGGTCCTAAGGAGGCCTGGGTCGATGGGCTGCTTGCCTCATAGTCTCTGTCCCTGCTAGCCTCAGCTCGGGGGACTGCAGGGGTCCCTTACAGTCCCGGAGCCCGGAGATGGTGGGCGCGGAGGAAGGCTGAGCCTCAGAATGAGGGGGAGCGGGGGAGAGCCTGCCCACCCCTCCCCCTCCTCCTCCCCTCCCGCCCACCAATAGGAAGTCAGCTGCTGGTTTCCATGGCGATGGCGCTGGACTGGTGGGCTGGACCGGCTGGCAGGGTCGGGATAGAGGGAAGAGCAGGTTCCTCACGGGATGTCAGCTCAGCGCCCTCCACTTGTGGCCTCCCCACCCCTTGTCCCCATGTGCCCTCACACCTTCCTGGGTCCAAGCAGGCTGGAGACGTACAGACTGCTGAGACCGGTGGAGACAGGAAGGATGTAACAGATCCAACCATGGAGAAGAGCAGGACCAGGAAACCCGGGATTTGAAGAAAACAAAGAGAAATAAAAGGATAAAAACGGGAAGATAGAAGCAGTGAGGTAGAAATCAGCTGAGAAAATTGCTTCAGCTTCCTTCTGGCAGACCACATTTGGAAACCAACCTGCCTGTCCCAGGCCAGCAGGGGAGACCTCATGACCTGTTGGGCTGCTTTTGCCCTGAATTGTCAGGAAGTTCTTCTTCTTCTTTTTTTTCCCCCCTAGTCTTAGACTCTTTTGCTATAAGAAAATGACTTTTGAGAACAAGGATCTGGGAAACCCCCTGACCCAGGATTCAGCCCATGGGATATGGGACTAGATAGAGTTCCTAGAAACAAAGATACTTGAAGAGGCCTTGGAGAGGCAGCCCCTTTCTCCTCTGAACCTGGGTCTTAGCAGACAAGCTAGTCTCAACCAAGGTTGGGGGCCCTCTTGTGGCACCCCTGTGGAATAGCAGCAGTAGCACTAAACCACAGAGCCCCTGACAGTGGGCTCCACCCAGGCCAGAGCTAATGGAACTAAGGGGAGGGAGTACATGGAGAGGAGGTGACATCTTTACTTCCCTAAAGCAGTGTGTAGAGCAGTATGCATGCCACTACAAGATGAGTGTTGCCGCTGTTTAGGACAGTGAATGTACACATGCACATAGTGATTATGTCCATGCACATATAACATAAACATACATTTATTTATCTGCACTTGGGGGACATTGTGCCATTGTCTATGAATCTCATTGGTGTGTCTATTTGCGTCTATCTATTTGCCAGTGTCTGTGCATATCCTATTATGTGTGTGAGAGGGCATTCTCGTGTGAGTTTATAAATTGCAACATCTGAATCAGGATATATGTATATGGATGTCATTATATGGCATTAACAATATATAATGACACACATATAGACATGTAAATATGCATATGACATACAATGACATGTGTATTTGATGATATGGTTACACATATAATCATCCCTCTGTATCTAATGGGGATTGGTTCCAAGACCCACCTCCCAGGATACCAAAATTCACTCAAGTCTCTTATATAAAATGGTGTACATGTCTCTTCTATAAAATGGTATAGTGCTTGTACATAAACTACACTCATATTACCATATACTTTTTTTTCTCCTTTTTTGTTTTGTTTTGTTTTGTGGCGTTGGGGATCTAACTCAGGACCTTGTGCATGCTAGGAAATTACCACTAAACTACATTCCTAGCCCCTCCTGTAAACTTTAAATCATCTCCAGGTTACTAATAATACATAATATAATGTAAATGTGAGGTAAATAGCTGTTATACTATATTACTAAGAGAATACTGACAAGAAAAAGTCATGGTCATTACAGACACAATTTTTTAAAAAATATTTTCAATCCAATACTGATTGAATCCTTGGATATGAAACCCACACAGGGACAATTGCATATATGTATATAACTGTAATATATATATATATATATATATATATATACATGTGTAATATATGTATACATATACACATACTTGCAGTTGGAGGTCTATAAGAAGCTGCACATGTGTTTTGTTGGCATATATGCATGGGACCTCTATGTAATTGCAAATGCACATGTGTATGTATGCTTTGTGTATTAGTATCTGTGCCCTTGTCTATCTATAAGATGCTGTGCGCACAATGTGCCATAGTATATCTATATATTTCTATATATCACCATGTATGAAAAATGTCATTATATGTATGTGAATGTTACTATATGTGTATTTTCATGTTTTATTTGTGTTACTGAATATGTGTGTGTCCTGGCTGAATGTATATCTATGTGTCATTGTGTGATATGCCAGCTATGTCACGTGTCCATATATAACTGCATATGTGTTTTGTTGGCATATATGCATGACACCTCTGTCAATGCACGTGCATGTGTATGTATGCTTTGCATATTAGTCTCTGTGCCCTTGTCTATCTATTGGATGCTCTGTACACATCATCTTATAGATGTGTGCCATAGTGTTTTTGTCCAACTCTTATAGTACCAAGGACCCCTAGATTTGGATTAAAACCAGAAGCAAGCAGCCTTCTGTTTGGGGTATAGTGAGCAAGGTGGGGGCAGGGCTAGAGCTAGGATCAAAGATGGAAGAACCCCTCATAACTCTGCCCCTCCATGTGGTGCCCATCTTCAGATTGTCAGGATGTCCTTGCTCAGTGGCCCAGGCCTCCCCAACCCACCCCCACTGTAGCCTGGCCAGGCCTGGAATCCTCTCCTGATCTTGTGGTCAGGGACAAGCCTTCTTTCCTCTCAGGCAAGTGAGAGGGACTCCCTTCCCAGCCTTCTGTGCACCCACATTGTCCAAGTGCCTGCTACTCCACTCAGCACCCCACCACCCCTTTGCCCAGCAACAGAGTCTCAGACAAAAGAAAAGCAGAGTCCATTCTTTATTAGCATCAGGGCCCCTGGCACCCCACACATTTCCCTCCATCTTGCGGCTGCTGCACCAGGGCCCACATGTCCAGCCTTCCCCACACCCTCCAGGACTTCAGCACAGCAGAGGACCTGATGTATTATGTTTCCAGTTGTCCAGGACCAGGAAGGGCAGCATTTGTGGGGGCGAAGTGGAGGCCTTCCAGAAGTCTGGGCAGGGTGGGGGAGATAGTGAGGTGCTCACCTGTCTCAGGGTCCTGAAGTAGAGGAAGACGGTGGCGGGTGGCGGCCGCGTGGCGTGGTCTCCGAAGCCCACAGTACACTCATCCATAAAGTAGGAAACACTACACCCTCCAGTGCTGTTAGTAGTGCTTTCTACTTTATGGGTGACTGCACTGTCTGTCTGTTCGTCTGCGTGTGATCTTCAGGCCACCCGCTTCTCCTTCTGATTCCTGCTTCAAGATCCCCTAGCCCTCCCAGGAGCTTCCTAAGACCCCTCCACCAGCCCATGGCCCCCAAAGGGCCCGCCCAGGGCCTTGTGGGCCGTGACTCAGCATGGCGCCATACTTGCCTCCTCTACCTCCCTCCCCCCACTTCCTCTTTGGTTCCCTCTTCCCTTCTCCCTAGGGCTCCACCCCACCACCACCCCCACTCTCAGGGGCATTCAGGTAGAGAGACCCTGGCTACTTCAGGGGTCTCACACTCATCTCCAATTATGCAACCCCCTGGCTGGCCCCTCCCAGTCACACTACCCACTGTCCAGAGTTCAACTGAGGCACCCCCAGCCTCCTCCCCTCCAAGGCCTCTGGCCTCAGCCTCCCCACTAGCCCAAGGCCCTGACTCCCTCACTGCCGGCTGCTCCCCAGGCAGGAGCCTAAGAGTATATCAACAGAAATGGTGGCCAAGTCKGGTGGAGGAAGGGGCTTAGCGCCTGTTGCTGGCACTGGTCCTGCTTTTGGACCTTTGCCCATCCCCACCCTACTCTTCAGCCCTCTTTCCTCAGAGCCTTGGGTACCTCTTTCATCTGGGGACGAGAGGAGCCATTTTACATTTTTCCCCCCTAGTACCAGGGATTGAATCCATGAGCCCTTAACCACTGAGCCACATCTCCAGCCCTTTTTATTTTTTATTGTGAGGCAGGATTTTGTTAAATTGCTTGTTAAAATTCTGAGGCTGGCTTTGAACTAGCTATCCTCCTGTCTCAGCCTCCTGAGCCTCTGGGATTACAGGCGTGCGTCACCGCACCCACCCCATTTTACCCTTTAATCCTACTTCTAGTAGAGGTTTAAAAGGATGTTAAGGAACTGTCCCCTCATGAAGCCAGGTGAGGTGAGTTAGACAGTAATTGCACCTCTTTGCCTAGAGCTTTGCCAGGAAGCCTTGGCACTCAAGTTCCTGACCTCCCCACCCCAAGCA